AGAAAGAGAAAGAGACCAATTACATAAAAAAGTCATCAAATGATTTGAAAGGGTTATTTTATTCTTTTTAACAGTTATTATTTTATTCAGAAAATAGGTTCTCTTAAAAGCAAAATATTTCTCCAGATTAAAGACAGAATAAGAATTTTAAAATTTTCTATTCATCCTCTCAAGAAAAAAATCAGCTTACAATAACTACTAGTTTCTTATTTTTCTGCTAAGTATGCATATTAACAAAAGAACAAGAAACCAGCAAAATTATCTGAGGAATAAAGGGGTACCAAACTATAATTAAAACTAAGAAATAAACCTCTTTAGTCAGCAGTCAAAAGAAAACATACTTCTAAGGTCAGAAAGGTCAACACCTTGATCTAAACATCTGTCAACCCTCTCCTGGTATGACCACTTCCTAGAGTTAGTTACCTGCCCTCAAAAATCTGTCTCTTCCAATCCATTCTACCCTCCATAGCAATCCAATTAAATAATCAGTGTGTCCCTCATTCTCTTCCTCTCCTATTTTAACTACTTCACTCTGTTCATCAGCTGCCAGGTTAAAATCAGAGTTCATCTATAAGATAAACAAATCCCTTCAATACCAAACTGTAGGGCAGGGGTTGTAGCTCAGTGGTACAGCACTAGCCTGGCATGTGTGAGGCACTGGGTTTGATTCTCAGAACCGAATATTATAAATAAATAAAATAAAGATCCATTGACAACTAAAAAAATTTTTTTAGAAACCCCAAAACCTAATTGTGGCCTCCTTTCCATCTCTCTCCAGAGCTACACTCCAGATAACATACCAATAGGAATATTCTCTCTTCATGAAACAATATTCTCCCATTTTGAACTATCCATCCTGATAACCATTTATGGATGAGAATTAAGGCTCATAGAAGTCCCTTGCACAAAGGCATACAAATAGTGATAAAACCATAGCTAGAGTACAAATTCTTCCTTTGTTATCTCTAAAGTCCTTGTAAAAGTACTTCTATTATATTTTTCAAATTCGAACTGTTTAAATGTCTAGCTCTTCCCATCAGTACAAGTATGAATTTCTCAAAGATGATCCTTTAGGATGCAAGAAAAGATTCATTTAGTCTAAAAAAAATTAAACTTTACTGAGATGAGTATAAAGATTCATACTTGGTCTCAGCTGCACACACATTAGGAACACCAGGAAAGAGTAGAAGCTTCACAAGCTAATGGGTTTACTTGTAGCATGCCAAAATATACTATAATTTGTGTGCGCTCATGTAAGTAGACATAGGGATCATTTAGTTTTAACCAAACTGACCCTCATAATTCTCTGCAAGGGTTACAAAGATAAAATAATACAAGTATAAGCCAACAAGAAATGACAAGGCTAGATGCCTAGCCTGTATAAGTTATTCCTCATCTACATTATGAATGTAGGTCAATCACATAGCACTCACTAAAAATTATTTCTACTTTGGGTTTAGGGATGTAGCTCAGTGGTACAGCACTTGCCTGCCACCTGTGAGTCCCTAGGTGTAATCCCCAGCCACACACACAAGTCACAACTTTAATGAAAACAAAAGGTACTATTAACAGAAGGTATAAATTATTCTCTCTCATCTTTCTTAAAACATCTAACTTGTGTAGTTTATCATGTATGCTAACATACTAATGTCATATTAACACATGTATGTAATTTATAAACAATTAAGCACATTAAAGTTACACGTACAAGGTTTTACTAACTAGGGAACACTCAGAATATCCACTGATTAAAGTACAGATCACATCCTTATCTTCTTCATGGTCATGATAAACCTTTCTAGTCTTTCCAAGAATGAGAGGGTATGATGAATAATGGCCCCCAAAGATGTTTGCATCCCAATCCCTAAACATATAATAAAATACATATACAGTAAATACATAATACAGTAAAAGAGACTTTGCAGATGTCATTAAATTAAGGATTTTTGAAATGGGGAGCTCAATCTGGATTGTCTGGGTGGACCCAATGTTATCATAAGAGTCATGATAATAAGAGGGAAGGAGAGGTGGATCATCAGTCATTAAACATGAGGACTGAAGCAATAGGTTGAAGTCGTGTAAGGAAAGAGACAAGAATGCAGCCAGCTCCAGAGGCTGAAAAAGTCAAAGAAATTCTCTTCTCAGAGTTTCCAGAATGAGCCGGCCCTCCCAACAACTTAACTTTAACCTGGTGAAACTGAATTTGGACTTCTGACCCCAGAACTATAAAATAATATGTATGTGTTGTTTTGAGTCTCTAAATTTATAGTAATTTGTTACAGCAGTAATAGAAAACTAATGGAGGACTCTTGGAATATGGGACTTTCTGTATTAAAAAAAAAAACAAAAACTGGTCATCTATCTTTAGGTTTTTCAATGCTCATAAACATTTGGTACACAATAAGCATGAAAAAATCTCTTTGTTGAATGATTTTATAATGAAATATATAGATAAGATATTCTCACTGTTTTACAAAAAATCTGTCATATGTGTTATTTCATTTCTTTCCCTGTGTAGTATGAATGGCATTCTGAGAACATAAAAACTAAGGTTTAAAGGAGTTTAAAGGAGTTATTGTAATGTGTCCAAGAACACGTAAGATATGGCACCATATCTTCAACATAGGCCTTCTATTTATGGTCAAAAGATCACAGTAATCAGGAGCCTATATTATGAGTCAGGCTGCTTAGATTCAAATCTAAACTACAAAATGTAATAGTTAACCCTAACCAAGTTACTTAACCTCTCTACTTACTCATCTGTAAAATGCAAAATGAAGTTAATAATACCTACCTTATAGGGTTACTAAGATTAAAGATGCTAAAATGTATAAAGTATACATTACATGCCGGACACAGAGATAGCTGACTATCATTCCTCTGTGCTGCAGCTACAGTGTATTTATATCTAGAATATTCTACTAATAATTAGGAATCACACCAAGTATACAAAAGAAAAAATAGCAACAGGAATGAATAATGAGACCGAAGTATGATGTTTCTATGGAGGCAATTTAAGATGAATAGACAAATGCAGAAGGGACACATAAACAAGATCTATACAATTAGGACATAAATAAAAATAACAAGATACAGCAAAAGTGATAGAGAAGAAACCTTAGAAACTAGAGTATTATAGTATAAACTTGCAACACTACACTCAATCTATAAAAGAGAAATAATTCACAAAATTTGAGGACAATTTCTGAATGATAAAAATGGCTACTAAGAAGAGCTCACCAACTTTAATCTTTCAAAGGTTTTATTTAGGTACCTATTTCTGTTAGGGAGGATATGGATGTAGGGAAATGACAAACCAGATCAAGACTGTTAGACCTCTGTTTAAGTCAGTGATATCATTTCGATTTTCCAAGGAAAAAGGGTTTGAAAAGAATAAAATAGACATACACCACTCCTCGTACTCAATCTCATTCATTCTTCATCACCATTCCAAATAACTCAAGCCTAAATATTCTATTTCAATGCCTTTTAACAGTTTTGCTAAAAAAAAAAAAAAAAAAAAAAAATTAAAACGTACTTAGATTGGCAGTTCAAACAAATCCCAAAATATTAACCCAAGTGTTTCTTCAGCTAAACTTTTCAGTCTTTACTTGAACCCTCAACATATGCTTTTCATTTTGTGAGTCAACAAACTTAATAGATCTGACTACTAGGCTACCTGATCTTTTCCCCTGACAGGTAGGTCATGACCTCCTCACTACTGCTGATGAAAATAAGAGGAAAAAATGCATGAGATTAAACTAAATAGCACAGTCCCCAACAATAGAAACATGACTAATTTCAAATTTACAAATGATTTCAAGAACCACATTCTAATGTTTGATTTCATTTCCACCACTGAACTGGGAAAAAACCAGTGATACTGGTGCCTATTAAATTCAAATGAAAAGTGTACCCTCTACTTTTATCAGTTATTTCAGGAAGTGCTGGTGAAGTAAAACCTGGTCTAAAGATGGGCATGATCAAGGAGAAAGTTGTTTGCAGAAACAACTCAGCAATCCCCAGAAAGAGGTGAAAATAAGCACAAGGTTTCAGTATCTCACCCACTAATTTAAAATTTGTAAGTGGATTCATCTTTTAGAGACCCTTCTTGGTATCCAACATAATACTAAAAATAGAAAAACGGGGAAAATGGCACTGGCTTTATTAAAGAGGTTCAAAATGAAAGATGAGGTCAACCTTTTTGTTCTCTAAAACTTCTATCATCCTTCTAACCCAAACTCGGGCAGTTGTTCTCAGGAGAGCAACAACTACCCCTCCGAGCTCTGGGCTCCGCCAGGCTCCCATAGACGTGAAAACACTGCTGGTGCTAGTTTCCGGGGATTTTAATAAGAGCAAATTCCCATGACCGAGAAAACACCTTTTCGCTCACAAAATGTCACACTTCCCTTTTAAAGGAAAGAAAAGTCCCTGGAAGAATTTCTTCAGAGAAGAATGACTTTTCCAAGCCTACTGATGGCAGCACCCTTGGACCCACAGCTCCCGGGGCTCCCCCTAAAAATGCCCCACGTTGTTGGAGACGTACGGAGCGCTGCGGAGCTGCGGGGACAAAGCCGTCCTCCCGCTGGCAACACGGCCCTCGCCCTCCCGCGGCCGAAAGCCACCGCACGAGCTCCGTCCACGCAGCCTGCCCCGAGCCAACCGAGCGAGCGCCCCAAGTTTCCGAGCGGCGGCCACACGTGCGACCGGCCAGGAGAAGGCAGGTGCGGACGCCGGTGAGCGCCGCGCGGGCCTGGGGACCCCGCACATCCGCCACTCCGCACACCTGAGGCGCCCGCTCCGCCCACCGGGCCTCCCCGCTCCGCTCCGCTCCACCGAGGCTCCGCGCCCAGCGCTGCCCGCCGCGCGGGGCGGGCGCGGACCTCGGTCGGTCCCCAGCCGCGGGCTCCGGAGACCCGCACCCCGAGAGCCTGCGTGACCCGGGGTGTGACTGAGCCGCCCCCTCCCCATCAGAGCTCCGCGCGGCCGCCGCTCCTCACCAGACCAGGGAGCACAGGGAGAGGCAGGAGGCCAGGGCCAAGGCCCGCTGGTACTTCTTCATCTTCTCCACCTTCTTCCCCCTGCCAGAAGGCGGCACATCCTCCCGGCAGCCGCCACTGCCGAGGCCAAGATGGAGGAGCCGGAGCAGCAGCGCGAGCACGGGCGCGAGAGCGCGAAGGGCCGCGGCGCCGGGGGAGCCGCTGCGCGGCGGCTCGAGTCCCCTCCGCGGGGCCCACGGCGGCGCCAACAGGCGCGCTTCACAGGCGGACTCCAGGGACTGCCGCTGCTGCTGCTGCGGCCGACGGTTCGCCCGCGCCCGCCCTCTCCAGCCGCCGCCGCCGCCACTGCCGCCCCATAGCCCCCCCGCCCGCCCCGGCCTGCGCTCCGTGCTGCCGGCGACCAACGGCCGCCGCGTAGTCGCCGCTCAACAGCCAATCGCTGGCGGGGCCGCGACACCTCACACTCCGCTGAGCTGGAAGGAGACGCGTCACCCGCGTCCCGCGGAGCCCGCACCCCCACCAGCCTCCGCGCGGGCCACGCCCCCTAGCCGGCCCGGCCGCGCAGCCCGAAGAACAGGACACAAAGCTGAGTCGCCGCCCCCCCACCAGGTCTCGCCCACTCGCTGGCGCGCGTTCTGGAAGTCCCGTGACGCCCGGCCTTCCGCCGCGCGGCGCCCGCCCCCTCGCACTCTCTCCCCTAGTCCGCGCAAGGCCTCCTGGGAGTTGTAGTCGGCATTCCAGAACCCTCTGTCCCTGTCGCTCCTGGAATCCACGATTTCAATATAGGAATCTATAGTTTAGCTTCTCACAGCTTTGGAATTGTTACACTCGGTTTTCCTCTTTGGGGCACATTTTTGTGATCAGCCTAGAACGCCTCGGGGACGGGCAGAAGAAAGCGGCACTAATGAAATTTAAAAGGCAGTTTTCCGAAGTCAAGGGGCCGGCCCCCAAGTCAGATGCTGATTGGCAGATGGAAAGGGGCGTGCCGAGATCTTCTCTCATCTGATTGGCCGGGATGAAGAATCTGGCTTTTCCTCCAAGCCTCCATGAAAATTTACCTCCCGCCAGATGCGGCAGATAGGGCTGCTGGGGTGGTCTTCGTTTCGTTGGTTTCGAGCTGTGGGCTCGCTGCTGTGGGGTCAAGGGCAGCTGCTGTCCCTGTCAGGGGAGTGAGTCACTCTCACACGCTCCAGATTCTGGGGTTCACCCAAGGCCGTCAGGTCCACCTACCGACTGCTGTAGTCTGGGGCAAAAAAGTGAGCGCCGCTCCACACTGAGTAACCTGCAGCGTGTCCACCCCGGCTCTCAGAAGCTAGACTTCGAGTCCGAAACTCCAAGATCTGGACCGCTTCTCTTCCCAAGCGCCTCTTACATAGCTTTCTTTTCCTGGAAGGTCGCTAACGTAGAGTCGGGGGCACGACCTTCCACTCTATGGAGAAACCACTTGGCCTTTCCTTTGGAAGCGATGGCACTCTTTACAAACTCTCACTAGGAGAAAGTTGGTCGTTACTCAGACATATTTCTTTCATTAGGTATATACAAGTATAACTCTGTGTGTTTCCCTTTTCGTCTTTGTTGTTGGAAGACTTAGAACTACCCTCCCTAGGTCATTTCCAGACAAGTTGGGGGGAAGGATACAAACTGGAGGTGTGAGGCAGAGGCTACAGTTATTTGTGCCTTGAAACATGCCATAATGTTTAGTGTGAAAAATTTCTAACGAGGTGTTCCTTGTTCGTGAAAAAAACCTTCCTTAAAATGCCAGATTAACATATAGTTTTGAGCCATGGAATTTCTTCGTGAACCTTATGTGTAGCTGTTACTATAAGCCCAGGGAACTTAAGGGTTGAACCTACTCTATAATTCTTGGAAATAACTCAATTGGTTGCTAGAGCAATTCTACCAAGTATGGTAATTTGGGTTTTAGAGGAGTTCACCCTACTTATTTTTTCTGTCAATGATTAGATAACAGTTCCAATTATCTTTGATGTCATTCTTACTATATGACAGTAAAAACCTTCCATCTCTAGTCCCCACTGTAGGAAGCAAGTATTTACCTAAAGAGCAGTATCAAATGATTAACATGCAAGTTAAAAAGCAGGTAGAAGTAATAGAAGGATGAGAATTATTAGACGTTCGCTGTCATGTTGAGCACACTTTTCTTCCAACTCTAGGAACTGTGCTGTTCAGAATAGGGAACAGGTGAGTCCCAACCAATCCTTAATAATTCACAGCCAAAGAAGTTTTATTAGAATTCATGTGCATCTGAAGCCTGGAAAGTTCCTCTCCCATCTCCTATCCTCATCCCAAACTCAGCCCATCAACTTTTAAAAATATATATTTTTACTTTTAATTGACACATGGTAATTGTACATATTTACGGGATACATTATGGCATTTCAATACATGCATACAACGTGTAATGATCAGATTGGGGTAACTAGCATATCTATCATCTTGGAACTTTATCATTTCTTGGTGTTGGGAACATTCAAAATCCTCTCTACTAGCTAATGTTCAATTAATTATTGTCAACCATGATTATCCTATTGTGGAAAACAAGTAATTCCTCGAATCCGATTATATTCTCCTCCTCCATCCCTCCTTCCATCATACCCTTCGCAGGCTCTAGTAACCACTATTCTAAACTGAGTTATTTTGACTTTCACATATAAATGAGAAGAACATGTGGTATTTGTCTGTCCTGTGCCTGATTTATTTCACTTAACATAATGTCCTTCAGGTCCATTGATGTTGCTGCAGATGATAGAATTTCATTCTTTTGTGTGGCTGAGTGACACTCCATTGTGTGTGAGTGTGTGTGTGTGTATTACATTTTCTTTATCCACTTATCTGCTGTTAGACACCTACATCGATTCTCTGTCTTGGCCATCATGAATAGAGCTGCAATAAACCTGCAAATTCAAATGTTTCTTCAACATACTGATTTCAATTCCTTTGGATATATGATCAGTAGGGGACTGCTGAATCATATAGTAGTTTTATTTCTAGTTTTTAAGGAAGCCACACACTATTTTCCTACCAACAGTGTATTACAGGTTCCCTTTCTCTAGATCCTCACCCGTATTTTTCACTTTTTTTGATAATAGTCATTTTAACTGGAGTTAGAGTGTGAATTATTGTAGTTTTGGTTTGTATTTCCCTGATGATTCATTGTATTGAGCATTTTTTTTCATACACTTGTTGTACAGTTGTATATCCTTTTTTGAGAAATGTTTATCCAGGTCTTTTGCACATTTTTAATTGGATTACTTGGGGATTTTGTTTTTGCTGTTGCATTGTTTGAGCTCTTTATATGTTCTAGAAATTAATCCCTTGACAGATAAATAGTTTGCAAATATTTTTTCCCATTCTGTAGGTTGTCTCCTAATCAACTCTGTTGATTGTTTCTTTTGCTGTACAGAAGCTATTTAGCTTGATGTAATTCTATTTGTCAATTTTTGCTTTTGTTACTATTGCTTTTAGGGTTGTATCTTTAAAGAAAAAAAAATCTTTGCCCAGACCAATGACCTGAAGCATTTATATTTTTCCAGTACTTTCAGGTGTTTGACCCATTTTGAGTAGCCTACTCCCTTCTCTTCCACCAAGTCCCTGCAATGATCTTTTGGATCATACAACTAATAGATAAATTTTCATTTATTTATTTCCTCCTTTCTTCATTTTTTTCTGTAATTAGAGGATTTTGTTGCTGTTTGCAAATGGAGCTTTATTAACACCCTTGTGTTAATAAATTTTAGCTCTATTTCAATCAGTAAATATCCTTTTTTTTCCTTTTTGCTAGTTTCATGTTCATGGTTTCATGTTAAGGCTTAATCCTTCAGTCCTATAAACTTTTTCATTTTTCTCTTTGGTACTTTATAATGTCAGTTCTCAACTCTGCTGTTGGTTCCCAGGTCTATATTACACTTCTTTTCAAGTAATTTCTGAACATATCGCTTATTCTACTATCACTTGCAACTTTACCTGCATAAAATAAAACTCCCCTGTAAATTAGTTTCTTCACCTAGCTTTCTATTGTTTTCATTCTTCCTTGTTCTAAGACCTCACATAGAGAGAATAAGAGAAGTTCCATTTCAAAACTGGTAGAAAAATATATTTTTTCTACATGGCTGGTAAATGTGTAGGAAAAAATAAAGAGAAAAAATGTGTTATAATTCAATAGATATAGAGAAATACCACCATACTTAAAAGTAAAACACATGCCAAAGAATGGCAAGAAAGAATGTAGAAAAATCAAAACGTGCATAATCTTCCAGACTGAGGCTAAGTAACCACAATCTACCACCTCTTAACTGTTCTACAATGATCCTCAACTTGGGGCAGTGTGTCCTCCAGGCTTCAGACACTAGTAGTGTCTGAAAAGTTTTGATTGTCTCACCTGGGCAGTGTCTCTGGCATCTGGTGGGTGGAGACAATTAAGCAATTATCCACAGTGACAAAAAAAAAAAAACACATTTGATCCCAAAAGCCAAAAGTGCCAAGGTAGGGAGACTCTGCCATAATGGAATCTCTCAAATCAATAAAATCTACAACCACTGACCACACACATGATAATTCATGTTCCTGCAGATCCTTGGACTATTCTGGTGTTCACAAAGAACTCACCTGCATAATGAACATGAGTCCTCCCATTCCTTAAAGGGTTAACTACACAGAAACTCTGGGTAGCTCAAGTCTCTTCCTGATAAAGATCAGAAACTCGTTTTCTGATGGTGAAAAAGAACAAGCAGATCTCACAGAAGGAGCCAATACCTTCTGGCCATCTCCTTTATCCATCTCATATACAAATCACAGTTAAGAAACCCCCCAAAAAGAACTCTTTCATGGGTAAGGTGGTGGTATTTATTAAGCAAGGTTTGGTATATTTTGATTTAGTTGAAAAATTGTCTGTTCTGTTCAAAATTACAAAATACTGAGATAGTATGAATATAAGAAGGATCTTAGAAATAGCTGTTGCCCAGTGACACGAGATGTTTCCAAAGCAAAAGCCAGTTAGAACAGAAATATCCTGGAAATCAGTAGGGGTGGTGGGAATGTCATGGAATTGAGAATAGATTAATAGACAAAAAGGGGAAATGTGACAGCACTAAAATTTTTGACTACACATAAATATAGTATAAATAGAACTTTTCTATTTTTCCCCACCTCATTTTTTCTCTATGCTATGTAAGTATGTGTAT